TCTCCCCCCCGCCAAAAAGCCCCCCCCCCCCCCCCCCACACACACACACCTCAACGTCCCCGGAACACGGAGAGGAGAAGGAAGGCTCGACAGTGTGGAGCGCACGGTTTATACAAACCTACCACTTAAAATCAAATTACCAAAGCATAAAACCTAACTTATGAGTTCAGTCTGGGTTGTCATAAAGCAAGGACTCGAGCCTGAGATCGGACTTCAAAAAGGCACCTCGGCGTAGAGGTGTAATAAAAATTTATGGAGGGTGTAATTATGTTGGCCGTGCAAACAGACGATCGTAAATCTCCAAGGACTAGTCGAAGTCTAACCGAGAGGAAGCCGTAGATTGTGACCGCGGACACCAAGACGACGGCGTGAATTTCGACTGTCGAGCGAGCGAAGGGAGAAGAAAGTTTGTGTGCAACACTTACCAATGTTAACGTGGACTTTCCTCATCCACGGATACACCACGGGGTCCTTTTTAGTGTTTGCGGGGGAAGATGTGTTTTGACTGTGAGGCGGCTGCTCGCGCGACTGAGGCGGAGGCGGGCTGGGTGTCACCGACACCCGGTCGAGTTCGACTCCAATCTGGGGAATGACGAGGCCGCGAGGGGGCATCACCACCGAGGCGGGCTGCCCTTCGCGCTGACACTGCTTGTACTGCGACTCCGCTAGCTGCTGGTGATGCCGGTGATGGTAGAGAGTCGAGTCCGGTTGAAAGGCGGTGGCCTCGTGTCTTTGGGAACCGTAATAGTCCGGAGAGTTGCTGGGTAGATAGTCGCTATGTGAGTACTCTTCGCACGGTGGGAATTTGGGGTCCACATAGTTAGAGTTGATCAAATACGAGCTCATGGCCATTAATGCCACTCTTTATGTGGAATCGAACCTAATATATAACTAAAATTTGTATCGCATCCCTTTACTCGGCGGTCATTCCTGTTCCGCTGAACCCTCCTACTTTTTCTGTCAAGTGAACAAAGTTAAACGGCCACGTGATTGGAGCGAGCCAATAGAACACGAGCAGGACGCGCCGCGGACAAGGAAATGCAGGCATGAGTGTACACACGGCCCCGCACGCGCGCCCTTGTATGCTCTCGTTTTGTGTGCAGTCACAAACAAGTCTTTCGAACACTTTCTCCGCCCCCCCCCCCCCCACA